GTTGTTTGGCGGGTCCGGGCTGGGGATTCGAACCCGACACCTTAGGTGTACGTGGCTGGCGCCTTAGCTGGTTGAGCTATAGGCGCCGAGCCAAGATACATATTTTTTAATGAAAAAAGAGTTGGTTATGATATATGTCTTCAGTCTCAATCCTCCATAGTGCAACTATGTAATAAACTTCAGACCTGAGAAAGAGTCATCCAAGAGGGACTGATGAGGTGGGCCTTTTAAAACTAATTTTTATTTGAGACAGTTAACACCAGCAAGTTAAAAAAAAAAATCTATTATGTCTATATCCATTAAAAAAACTTATTTTTAAACAGCTTGCCTTTTCTATAGAAATGGAGAAATTCTCCCTTTGGAATCAGTCTTTCTAAATTGTAAGGTATTTGGGAACTGAAAAAATATCTTTCCCTTACAAAAAAAGGAGAGCTGAGTTATTGACATAATCAGTCAAATTAAGTTTCTCTGCTTTTATATTTTAAATACTAAGTCTGCATTTAGATAATTATATTTTTCTCAGATTTTATTTTTTGATATTTTAAATATGCAAAGAGACAGCTTATTTAAAATGATGAACAAGTATTGTTAAAATACAAAGCTTACTATGAAAGCTAAAGTTTTATTTATTTATTTATTTTGAGACAGAGTTTTACTTTGTCACGCTCGGTAGAGTGCCATGGCATCATAGCTCACAGCAACCTCAAACTCTTGGGCTCAAGTGTTTCTCTTGTTTTAGCCTCCTGAGTAGCTGGGACTACAGACACCTGCCAAAAACGCCTGGCTATTGTTTTTTTTTGGAGACACGGTCTCTCTCTTGCTAAGGCTGGTTTCGAACTTGTGAGCTCAAGCAATTCACCCACCTTAGCCTCCCAAGTCCTGAGATTACAGCTATGAGCCACTGTGCCTGGCCCTATTTATTTATTTTTGAGAGAGAGAGGCTTATGTTCTTGCCCTGGTAGAGTGTTGTGGAATCATAGCTCACAGGAACCTCAAATTCCTGGGCTTTGAGCGATCCTCTTACCTCAGCCTTCCAAGTAACTGAGACTATAGATGTCTGCCACAACACCTGGCTATTTTTAGAGATAAGGTCTCACTCTTGCTCAGGCTGGTCTAGAACTCCTGAGCTCAAGCAGTCCACCTGCCTCCACCTCCCAGAGTGCTGGGATTTCAGGTGTGAGCCACCATGCCTGCCCTTGTTAAAATTTTACTCTTAGATGATACCTATTTCCTCCTAATTAGAACCTAATAAAATATTCCCTGATCAATTAATATAATCTGTGGATTACAGAATCACAGGATTAGAAAGTCTGGTTCAATCTCTTGAACATTTCCTCTAATACTCCCAACCAAATGATTTTCTGACATTTATCTGAATACCTCTAATAACAAAGAATTCACTACTTCTAGTAGTTTGTTCCCACCTTGGACAGACAGAAACATAATGTGTTTCCTCAGAATGAGCCAAAGATCTGTCTTCTTCTTAATTGCAATTATCCTGGTTCTGTTCCTTAAGCCCACAGAGAACAAGGCAAATCTGATTTGTACTATAAGCAAAAACACATGCTTAGCTTTGGCTTAGAGACCTCAGTGGTCTCCCTCACTGAGTGAACCATGGGCAAGTCATTGTCTCTCTCCAAGCCTGGATATAATACCTACCTTAGGTGTCACTGTGGGGACAAAGAGGCAGTAAATAGCAATGCAGTGCTAGCTTAGGAGAAATTCATAGGAGATGCTCCTGGTATCATGAAGGATATATCATGAGGATCCCAAATATATTTTCACCTCAAGGCCAACCCCCCTCTGCTCTTTCAACTATTCCCTCCCCACTAAATTTTAGAAACAGGGTCACTCTTTTGCATAGGCTGGTGTGCAGTGGCACCATCATAGCTCACTGTAACCTTGATATCCTAGGCTCAAGTGATTCTCTCGCCTTAGCCTCTCTAGTAGCTGAGGCTATAGGCATACTACATCATGCTCAGCTAATACTTAAATTTTTTTATAGACATCCGATCTTGATATGTTGCTGAGGCTGGTCTCAAACTCCTGGCCTGAAGTGATCCTCCCAGCTTGGCCTCCCAACGTGCTGGGATTATAGAAATGAGCCACCACATTTGGTCCCTTCAACTTTTTTTTTTTTTTTTTTTGCAGTTTTTGGCTGGGGCTGGGTTTGAACCTGCCACCTCCAGCATATGGGGCTAGCCCGGCGCCTTACTCCTTTGAGCCACAGGTGCTGCGCTTTTTTTTTTTTTTAGACATGAGCCTCATTCTGTCCCCCTGGGTAGAGTGCAGTGGTGTCATAGCAACCTCAAACTCTTGGTCTCAAGTGATCCTTTTGCCTCAGCCTCTCAAGTAGCTGGGACTACAGGTGCTGCCATAATACCTAGCTAGTTTTTCTATTTTTAGTAGAGACCAAGTCTTGCTCTTGCTCAGGCTGGCCTCAAACTCCTGAGCTCAAGCAATCCACCCACCTCACCCTCCCAGAGTGCTAGAATTACAGGTGTGAGCCACTGTGTCCAGCTCCCTTCATCTATTCTTACACAAAAAAGTTGCAAGTTCATTCATCACCTTCCTAGGCCCCCTTTGCCCACATCTTTAAACATTAGGTACCCAGTCAATAAGAAGCATAATCTATCAAGTGTCGTCATAGTTGGTAAGATCTGCGTTTTTGTGTTCATTTTTAAACACAGTCACACCTCTGAGCACTGGTAGAAGGAAATGAGTGGCTCTCGTTTCAGTTTAATCAGTTCCTCCATGGAATTAACCTACTCTCCTCTAAACTGTGGGATCACTCCCACCTCCAACCTTTCACTGATAACTCCTCACAAAACAGCTTCTGATACCTGGCTCCTCTGATCTCTTTCCTTGCTCAATTTTTCCCACCAGCCTCCCACCCCACTCCTCCTTCCTGTCTCTGAGATCTATGCAGTAATGGACACTCCGAGACAGTGGGCTGGCAGATTCTTTCCTGATGCCAAATGCACTAGTAAACGGATACAGTCACAGTTTAGAGGCTATAGAGTCAGTGCTTAACTTCAGTTCAAAGACTTTTTGAACTCTAGTTTTTAAAAAGGAAGATAAATTATTAAGAGAGTACAAACTAAAAATCTCTTTTACCATAAATCAGAAACTATCACTCTCCATTTTAACCCTGGGTGGATTACAGGAGAAAACATCCAGGAGACTGAATAGAGAGTGTTTTATGAATATACAAAGGTTTGCAGCTCTTTTCTTTGCAGTCACCTTGCAGGCCAACAGCTCACGGTCTGCTTTACCAACAAAGGAGTTTGAGCTATTTCTGGAATAACCAAACACAATCTCACCCCCCTGCCAGGCTCAGCACACTGAGATTAATTTAATCTGCTTCCTGCTCTCCCAGACTGCTTTGCGGCCTGCTTGGGGGAAAGCAGTTTAGCTGTGAAACTTGCAGAAACCTGCCCTGCTGGCCCTGCGGCCAGATAAAAGAAACAAAGAAATACTCTATCTTTCTTACTGAATTCCCCTGATCAGGCCCAGGCTGTAAGTGCTGTGAGGATTCCCACAGATCTCAAATGCCTGTACACAGTCAGGAACCTGAAACGGGAAGGTGCAGGTAGGACACCCATGGGCAGGAGAGGCTGGGGGAGGGGAGCAAAGCCGTGCTTCAGAGGGTAAAGGGGAGGCAGACTCTTGATGTTAGTTGAAGCTGACCACAAAGGGCCTACTATTCATTCGGGTCAGAATGAACAGAGCAGTATGTTCTGGATGTCTGACATAATGCATGCCTCTACCCCTAGGCTGCTTCTCAATTCTGGTCTCATTCACAGGCTCTGGCAGAAACAGCCCTTATAGGGACAGGGTAAAATAAGAAGGACAACCCAGTGGCCTTTCATTACCTGCTTTGGGGTTGTTCACCTCTGCTAAGCAAGCAGGTTTATTCTAGGCAAGGGACCACTATATCTTCAGGGCCTAACCCAATGTCCAAAATATGACAGATACTTAATGACTGTTGCACTGAGATGGATAGAACCCATGGTCTGTCTCAATGTCCTCATAAACAGTACAGGTCTCTCTAGTTCCCAAAAAAACAACTGGCACCAATTGAGATTTGAAAATTACTTTCCAAAACTACGCTGATTATAGAAAGAGCAGCTTGGCTGGTACCTACCTACAGGAGAGGCATTTCTGGGTACCCAGCTATAAAGAAGAAGAAGAGCTA